AAAAAAAAAAAACATAACAGATGCATTAGAGGGGTAGAATTGGATTCTAAAAGAGTCCTGGGATATCATGTAATCTAAAGGTCATTACCTCACTGGCCCCAGTTGGACTATGGCTTCTAGAGTGTTCCCTGTGGTTTCCAAGTTGTGCAAAAAAAAAAAAAAAGTCATATTAGTTCCCAAAACTTATTAACTGGAAAACTGCAAATGAACATCCAGACTTTTTTCCCCTTGAAATGTGGAAATACTGGACCCACATTTTCACAGGTTAACAAGGGAAGAGGGGCTGAGAAGTGGTTACCCTTAGTCCCATACAGGTTACCAGCTAGGCTCCTGTAGACATTTGAATTTGCAGACTCCAGCTGTCAAACTGTCATTTCAGAAGTGAGAAAACTGAGACCCAGCATTGCAAAGTGACTTGCTCTGACTGACCCAGGTGTCCTCAGTCTCAGCCCTAGTTTCTTTCCATACCCATTGCCCAGTATATACAGACATCCTAAAAATCTATATTTGCCATGACTACATATAAACACACACAAAGAAGTGAGTGTGAGTTTAAAGACTTAACAGACATGTATGAGCTATGTATCACTTTCAAGCTAAGAAAAAAGACTAAAGATTGGATTAATACAAAATACTATGGATTGGATTAATACAAAAGGATCTTGTCAGTTAAAAAACACCAAGGCAATTAAGTCTCTGTTTCCTTTGGTCATAAAGTCAGCCCATTACAAACTGTAGCTCTTTCTGCTTGTTTAAGGAGATACTAAGTCCAGGTTAATATTTATTCCAATTCCGAGTCACCCTTGGTTTCACTTTCTGAATCACTCAGTAATGATCTGATAAGATGTTGAGAAATGAGTAAGAAGAAAAAAGTGGAGGGTGGGGTAGAGAGAGTAAGAAATAGCTAGTTTCTGGGGAGGCCTCCTGGGAGTAACTATTAGACAACGTGGTGATTAACAATCGGGCGGACAGAATAAGTCTAAAAATTAACTGAAATGTTTCCTCCTTCCTTACTCTCTAGGGCCCCCTTGAGATGTTTGTTGAATTTAATTACACTCCGCAAGCCCATTCTCCCTTCTCCCAGCCAGATGAACCCACTGAAGGTGTGCAGAAAGGATCTCAATGTCACTGAAGAATCTGGAAAACAAAGGCAACAACCTCTGGACCGGGTTCAGTAAATCATTGATCTTTAAGTTAGAAAGTTTTAGACACACACCTCAGACTGGAGGTTTTTGTATCCCAGGCCAGGGCATCTCACATTTTAATGTGCTTAGGAGAGTGTGAAAGGGCTGAGTCAGAGTCCTGGGGTGAGGCCTGTGGTTCTGCATTTCTAAAAAGCTCCCAGGTGATGCTGAAGGTCAGAAGACCTGCTACTCTGAGCAGCAAGTCATAGGGGAGACGCACTGGTTCTCAAACTCATCCACCTTTTTGAATCACCTGGGGGACTTTCATGAACTACTGATGCCTGGTCTTATCACCAGATCCTGATTTAATTAGTGTGGATGAAGCCTGAGCATGAGGATTTTTCAAAGCTTCCAAGGAGATTCTAGTATGAAGTCAAGTTTGAGAGGCATTGCCTCAGGTTAGAGCAGCAGCTCTCAAACTTTAGTATACATGAGGTTACCTGGAAAGTTTATTAAAAACAAATTGCTGGCCCCACTCTCCTGAGTTTCTGATTCAGTAGGTCTGGGTGGGGACTGAGACTCTGCATTTCTTTTTTTTTTTTTTTTAAAGATGATCGGTAAGGGGATCTTAACCCTTGACTTGGTATTGTCAGCACCACCCCCCCCCAGTGAGCCAACCGGCCATCCCTATATGGGATCCGAACCCTTGGCCTTGGCATTATCAGAACCACATTCACCTGAGTGAGCCATGGGCCGGCCCTGAGAATCTGCATTTCTAACAAGGTGTTGCTGAGTCTGTGGGTCTGGGGATTGCACTTTGAACATTTTCTTTCTTTCTTTCTTCTTTTTTTTGCAGCTGGCCAGTATGGGGATCCAAACACTTGACCTTGCTGTTATAAGGCTGCACTCTAACCAACTGAAATAACTGGCTAGCCCTGAGATCACACTTTGAGAACCATATCCTGTGGGCTAGAAGGTGAGGGACCAGGTAGATAGCAGATGTGTCACTAAGGGGAAGCCATTAATCTTCAGTTATGCAAGAATTTAAGCAAGCATAAATTGGCTAGATTGGCTGTCCTTCTCTTGCTACCTGGGGAGGACTGTCAACCAATTACAGCCAGCCTATGGCCCCCAATTTATGCTGCAAGACTTGCCATAAATTGACCTGCGAGCTCTCTAATCTATCCACACCATGTAGACAACCGCCTTTGCAATAGGTGACAATTGTAGCCCCTCTACAACAGAGGGTGGTGGGTTTGTCCCCTGACAGTGGTGCTGATGGGGAGGTTGAACTCCTGCACCTGGACAAGCTGGAGATCTCCCACCAAGACAGGATGGTGGTAGAACATCCACCTTTGCTTCAATAAAATCCCATGATTCCATTGCAGAGATGTGGCTTAGCCACCTCAGTTCTTATGCAAAAGGTGGGAGAGCTGAGGTATAACCAGAGGGACATTGAAATATGGTCAAAGAAGTAAAAATTCTCTTATGGGGACCAGATGGAAGAATACTTAGTGTCAGGACTGTCCCTGAAAACAATAACGAGCTTGTTACTCCAAAGAATTATTTTCTGAATCAGTATAATGTTTTCTTCAGCTTTTACTTCACTTTTTACACCAAAAAAAGAAGAAGAGCATGCTATAGATTTATAACTAAGCTTTGAGATGGAGCAGAGGTGAGGTCCAGCAGCTCTTTTTAAATATCCATATTTATCTTCCTTCCAGAAAATTCCTTTACTTATCTATTTAATTTCTTTTCATAGTAGACTGAGCTGTAGCACTTTAAATTCTTAGAAGAAAATTGCCCTAGAGATGTGGGAAGGTGACTACCACTTACTAAGCTCGTACTATGTGTCGGGCATTCCACAAACCTCTTTGTGTTCATTAGCTCATGTATTGCGGTAGAAAGCTCTGTTATCACTGGGATTATGATTGTCTGGAATATTTTCCTGGAAAGTTTGCAAAAAAATTTTTTTTGAGCAAAATAGTCTATTCAAAAAAAGCATTTCCCACAGAGAAAATGAGCAGATACTAAAGAAACCTGAAAGGCTGAGAAGTATGTGGGCCATTAAGCCATAGAAACTTAGGCCATTAAGCCATAGAAACTTTCTGGACTTCTTATGCTGGCCATTAAAATTCCTGCTGAGAGCTGGTTATTTACTTACACTACAAAGTTTTAGCAGTTGCTTCTAAATGGTTTTTCCAGGCCTATAGAGGACCTAAGCTGGGTTGGTATAAGGTAAGGCTAATCTCTGCCTCCCGGCAGGGACTTAAAGTATGGCTTTTTATTTTTATTTTTTATTTTTTATTTTTTCCTTTTTGTCTTTTTTCGTGACCGGCAACGGATCACAACCCTCAGTGTTGCGCCCGTACCGGACCGGGACCGGCACCCTCGGTGTTGCCCCCGCCCCTCGCTCAGCCAGTGAGCGGCCAGTCTGTATGTGGGATCCGAACCCTCGGCGGGAGCACCACCGCACTTCCCAAGCGGTGCACTGTAGCAGTGCGCCACCGGGCCGGCCCCTTAAAGTATGGCTTTTTAAAAGATTTTGTTACATGTAGATCATAAATTATATAGCAAAACAAAAACAAATCCATATATTAGGTGAAGGACCAATTATTTTTCTCTCCAAAATACTATATCAAATATTGGCCTTGAAAAAGACTATGCTCATTTATTTAATAAATACGTTTTTAGGCACTTACCACATGCTAGGCACTAGGTTTACAATGGTAAACAAAATAGATACGATTCCTGCCCTCAAGGAACTTCAGGGCTGGCACAAGAAAGAGATACTGAAAGTACATAAATACAACCTGAAGTTATATGATGAGACTTTGTTGCATATATACAATCCCAAGTTGAACAGGTATATATGAGAAAAGTAACAGGGATATAATTTATAGTGGAAGTCCAGGGAAAATTACTTTAGCTGGGCCCTGGAGGATGAAGAAAAAGGAGTGTGGTGGGTGATGAGGGGGAAGAGCATTTCAGCTAGAAGTAAAAGGTCTTGAAGTGGGAAAGTACTTGGCAGCATCTGGGAACTGAAAGAAGGTAGGAGAGAGGGAGTAATAGGGTTCTCCAGAAAAACGGAACCAGTAAGAGACATATATGGAGAGGGGCTGGCTGGTCAGCTCAGTTGGTTAGAACATGGTGCTGATAACACCAAGGTCACGGGTTCAATTCCTGTACCAGCCAGCCACCAAAAAAAAAAAAAAAAAAAAGACAAAACCCTGAGAACTAAGAGCCCAGATGGTGTGAGTCCCAGTCCAAGAGCAGGAGACTGATGTCCCAGCTCCAGCAGTCAGGCAGAGTGAATTCTCTCTTCTCTCTCCTTTTTGTTCTATTCAGGCCCTCAATGGATTGATTGATGCCCACCAGTGCTGAGGAGGGCCCTCCGCTTTACTCAGTCTACTAATTCCAATGCTAATCTCTTCTGGAAACACCCTACAGACACACCCAGAATGATGTTTAACTAGACATCTGGGCATCCCATGGCCCAGTCAAGTTGACACATACTATTAACCATCATAAATGATGACGGCTAGAAGAAGCAAGATAGGTGGATAGGGTTGTTGTGGTTTGTACTGTGTCAGTCGCGTTAAGTTGGAAATGTGTTTCTCAGTATCCTCTTCCCTATTAGACTTGGCTGAAAGAGGTAGGTGCAGGTGCAGATGCAGGGGTAGCCATCACTTGAGGTCATCGTGGTTAGACGTGGTCATAGACACAGAGATGCCTGAGGGTTCCAGTCTGTCCTGTTCTCCTCTGTTCTGCATCTGGCTCTTCTCCTAACTGCCATCCCTGATGACCAACAGCAGCCCAGGCCACCACCAGATGCTTGGTGGCGGTAGCTACATAGAGGCACAGCTTGTCATAGAGCCTTCCCTTAGCTGTCCTATTTTGGTGACTGAATGTGCTTGGTGACTCGGATGGACTGGCCAGTGCCTCCTCTGATCCTCCAACTTCCCTCCTGGACTGTCCCTTCCTCAGATCCTCCTACAACTCTGTGAGGTCTAATTCCCAGAATAAATTGCTTATCGTATTTCTGCATAGAACCTGGCTGGTACAATGAATCAGACCACATTGACCAAGGTGAAGGTNTCTCCTCTGTTCTGCATCTGGCTCTTCTCCTAACTGCCATCCCTGATGACCAACAGCAGCCCAGGCCACCACCAGATGCTTGGTGGCGGTAGCTACATAGAGGCACAGCTTGTCATAGAGCCTTCCCTTAGCTGTCCTATTCTGGTGACTGAATGTGCTTGGTGACTCGGATGGACTGGCCAGTGCCTCCTCTGATCCTCCAACTTCCCTCCTGGACTGTCCCTTGCTCAGATCCTCCTACAACTCTGTGAGGTCTAATTCCCAGAATAAATTGCTTATTGTATTTCTGCATAGAACCTGGCTGGTACAATGAATCAGACCACATTGACCAAGGTGAAGGTCAAGGGAAGCTATCAGAGGTCTCTGAACCAGGCAGTTGGCCTACATGTGAGGGTGGGGCTCCCTTGACTACAACCAGCGTTCGAGGCCCCCAGGGTTCTAAACAGAACAAGGCACTGTACAGAAAAAAAAAAAAACTGCCACTGGACTATCTCCCAAATCCCCACAGCTACTTTCCTGTGTCTTCATTCCTACCTCACTGGCAAGTGGTCATTATGATTTTGCTCTTCATCTCTGACAAGAAGAGGTGTTGTTTGTATCTAACAAGCAGAAGGATTAATGAGCAGGAGAAAAACCTCCAGTCGTTTGTGGCAGTGTTTATATTCAACAACTTTGGGATGGGCACAGAAACAGGTTAAATAAACTGACTTTTAGACTGAGAATGGCTCAAAATCTGCCCTCCTTCAGTGAGTATATGTAGCGATCCAGGAATGAGTGCCTGTAATTCACCAAAGGAAGCTGTAGTAGCTATACTCAGAATCAACTGGAGGGCTTTAAAAATACATTTATGCTTGGGCCCCACTACAGACCATTTAAATCCATATTTCTGGGGGTGAGGCCCAGACACTTCTTTTTCTTTTTTCTTTCTTTCTTTTTTTTATTTTTATTTTTTGGTGGCTGGCTTGTATTGTGATCCAAACCCTTCACCTTGGTGTTATAACGCCTCTTTTTTGAGTCTAATTTATTTTTTCTTTTGTCATTTGAGCTTTTTTTTTTTTTTT